TGTGGTATATGCTGCCTTCAACTCTATTTAATTCCATCAAGAACCATGCCTCTTTTCTTGCAATAAGGAATAAAAATATATTTTCTTTAATAAAAATATTTTAATTAAATAAAATATTAATATTAAAGAAATAGTAAAACAGGTTATTTAACCTCTAAAATTCCACTAATGTAGTGGTCCTAAATCTGTGTAGGTTTTATGTCTCACTCTGGCACTCAAACTTCTTGGCACTTCGTACTCATTTGGTTTGATTAGGATACTGCCATCAATATAGGGGAACGTGGATAAGGACAGATAAGGACATTTAAAATCCTTTCAGAGTATACTTTATCTGAAAAGAAAGTTAACATGGCTCCAAGGTGAGACAATAAATATCAATTATAGTACTTACCACAGAAATGTAAATTGCTTTTGATTCTTTTTAATGATTGGTATTGAAAATGATCTTTTCAACATATCAACAACTCACCAAAGACTGTATTATTTTTTTTTTCTGGTAAAGGTTCTACAACTGATACAGCAGCTACAATTGGGGAAATCTTTTGTTAAATGTTCAATGCACTTTTATCTACTATAATTCCTCTAAATTTTCAACCTTTGTATTTTAAAGACTGAAATAAAAACTATGCCTTTTCTTGAGGATTCGTTATTGTTTCTGATCTTGGAAGAGAAGTGCAATTTTATGGATATTATCTTGGCTCTTAGTGCATTATGGCATCAATGAGAGAGTTTTTTCATCTGTTAAGTATATTCTGTTTCCATAATACATTCATGGATCCAGGAGATAACTATTGGTAGGTCTAGAAACCCACTGGACTAGTTACTCATTGGACTTAAACCAGGATCTTATATGTCTCCTATGTTCTGTAACCTTCTATCTAGCAGTCATGATGATATTTTTTGTTCCCTAATATTAGTAACACTTAGCCCCTATGTTAATCAGTCCTCAAGATTTTTATCTCAGTATCTGTCTTTCCTCTTGGATAATTACTCTGGTAAATGACTCTAGATCCCTACAAGGAAATATTTGTTGGAATATTTATCTTATAGTCTTGAAGTGGCATTCTAAAATTCTTTAAAAGACTTCCCTCCTTTTTAATTGATAGTATGTAAGTCTGGGAACTGGTCTAGATAAGAAAACTGGGTGAAAGATCTTTTTGTTTGTTTGTTCCTTTTTATTGCAGTTTCCATTTCTGTTTTACCAAGTTGCAAGATACATAACTCAAGCAGCTCTAAATCTACTGAAGTGCTAAAAAGATTATAGGCTATTAGCCATCACCACAAATCTTTGTGGGTCAAAGCATTCTGGCTTCTGATCACACCTTGCTCTTCCTTATATTTAGATAGCTCCTGATAGTTAAAAGCTGTCATCTAGTTTCTATATATTTGAAATCATCCTGAAATTAGAGAGACTAATTCCATGAAAACATTTTCTATTGTGAATCTATTGACATCACACTTCTCAAAGTTACCTTGTCTCTTTATTACATCCCCTCTTCTTCTAATGAAAGGAGTTGTCTCTGGGACAAACAAGGAGTACATTTCTCATTATCCTCTTAAGGCAACTTCATTTTATTCTTCATAGATACCATTATATCAAAATTTTAATAAGCTACTTCTGAAGTAGATTAAAACTGGATTCAGTATTCTTTTCCAGGAATGTCATTGGGAAGTCAGGGAAGAGTATTTGTAAGTCTATAAACTTTCTTCTATCCAGTTTTAAAAACTATTTTCCCCCTAAAAAGAGTCCTGGTGGTTTTTGTTAAATCCTGCAATTTTTAGAATAAGGTATTTCTTTCTTGTTGCAGGAAACATTAGCATTGCTTTGGGGTGTTAAATGAAGGCAGTGAGATTTTGAAGACTGTACTACCTTATGAGGAATCTGTCTCAGGTAAAGCTTTGCATTTTTTCCAGGCCAGTGGAGGATTCTCTCTACCAGTCTGGGGGAGACAGCTTCAGTCAGTTTGGAAGGGTCAAAGCAATATTGAAATACTTTTTTTGAGATGCAACTATACATATATCCACCATCCTAAGTCCCAAAGTATGGCCTCTTTCCTTTTAGGGCCCTCACTGTAGCACAAAAGCCCTGTTGAGCATATGCATTTTGTCTCTTGTTTGTTTGTCTTTTTTTTTCTTTATCTTTGTGACCCTCATAGTTAAATCCTAGGTCTTATTTCCAATAGTCTCCCTTAGGATGGAGAATTAGGTGCAAATAACTGATTCAGAAGGAGATTTTAGGAACAAGAATGAGGGAAATGGAGAGTGAAACAGGTAAAATATACAAGAAACACAGGGATATAATATGTTGGTTGTGTGCAATGGGAACTCAGTTCTCTTAGAATCATCCTAGAAATGAATCTTTTTACCTGAAGTAAGAGTGGTCGAAGGACTTACCCACTCACTACCATCCTCAATGGTTGAGGGATTTCCCCAGGGTCATTAAATCTCTGCACTTCTGGGCATCACTTGATATTGTGCCAAAAGTTTTCCCATGGTATCAGACAAGGCCATGGAGCAGAGAGGGAAGATATATACAATTTGATGTGATACATCACTGACGGTAGGTGTGAGACTAATCTGAGTTCACACAGAACTCTTCACTGCTGCTCTGCTGGAATTAACTGGGCTAAGGAGTTGAGCTACACTGGCACCAGAGTCATCTACTTTAGTATGCTGATGCTGTACACTACATTTGTAACTGCAGGAATCAGAATGAACTGGCTTTCTGTATAAACTCCCTTTATACAGAAAAGCAGAGGAGGTGAGCTGAAAAAAAAATCACAGGGACAATAGGTATTTGCAGGAAGAAGACAATCTCAACAGAAAAGAAGATGAAGAAAATTCTTGCATCTTGCATAGTGAAAACCAGCTAAGACTGTCAATTAATCAAAAATTTAAAAAAAAATAGTTGATGTGAGGAAAAATACATTTCCACAAATGATTAGAAATTAATGAGGAACTGGAAGAGATAAAGTAGAGGGATAGACATATAGATATATAGAATTAGATGCAGATATATAGACACCAGTATTAGAAAACAAACTAGCAAGGAAGAATAATCTGAACAAATAAAAGACATACACCAGAAGTTGTTTACTATTAAGTGTATTTTAAAAATTAAAAGACGGAATAAGAAGCTATTAACTTTGAACATGGGCAAAAAAAAACAGATGAGATTCTTTAAAACATCAAACAACTCTTTTCCCAATAGTATCAAACTCAAATTTAAAACAAAAGTGCCAACTAATTTTTTAAAAATTCTACAGAAACAATAGCACAGAAAAGAAAAAAAAAGTCAGAGATAATGTATAGATTTTCTGGAATGCATGGACTAGCAAAGAAAATTTGAGTAACATAAAAAATATGACAAAATTCAAACTGTAAAAGACCAATGCATCTAAATGCCATGAAAATAAAAATACTTATATTGAGTGTAATGTGTTTATTAATATTCTTTAATGATGAGAATTATTAGTTGTGAAAATTTTAACTAAATCTGCTTCTAGTACATGGATCAAGGTAAGAGTATAAATATGGAATGTGTTGTAAATATTACTTTATGTCAGCTTTTCTTAGGCATAATATATTATTTTAATGATTTTAATGTCTTCCTTGTAAGTTTTTTGTTTTCTATAGAACACTTTTTCTATTATTTTCATCATCATCTATTTTGAATAATTTAAAAAATACAAATATATTAGAATATAAATTTAGGTTATTAAACAGGTAAAAAAATTCTTTAATAATAGAGAATGTGAAATACTACACTAAATGATCAAGTCCTATTCTTCATTGAATTAAGAGGATATTAAATACAGATATGTCTGCTTTGAAGAAGAAATATGCCTAACTTATAAAGAAAGGGAAGCGGGTCTGGGATTATATTTCAGTGGTAGAGTACCTTGTCTAGCATGTGAGGCCCTAGGTTTAATCCTCAGCACTGCAAAAAATAAATAGATAGATAGATAGATAGATAGATAGATAGATAGATAGATAGGTAGATAGATAGATAGATAGAGGTATTGTGTTTATCTACAACTAAGAAAACTTTTTTAAAAGGTTATATTTATTTTTGAAGCTTTTTTGCAAAGAAGGTAACTTAGAAATACAATACTCTATTTCTCTAAATGTTATTTTTACTCACACTCTGCAAAACATTGGTTATATATTTTGGTGTTCTGCCCTGGAAAAAAAATTCTTTGAATATCATCATTATCATTATCACCATGGCTAACAGAGAGGTTGCAAGGCTACTATGTGTCAGGGGTTCATTTTAGTATTTTCTATGTGGCTTCAAACAATTGTATGTGGGTTCTATGATTTCTCAATTTTCAGATAGAAAATTTAAGGAGAGAACCATGTAAGAATGAAATAGTTAAATATGTTTCCTTAGATCACACAGCATAAAGGTGGCTGAAAAACTAAAAGAGAAATTGAAAAGGAGAAATGGAAAAGGGGGAAAAAGGAGTGAAGAACAGAAAGTGGAGAAGGCAGAAGGGTAAGAGAAATGAAGAAGAGAAGGAGAAACATGAGAGAAAGATGAATTGAGATTCAAAGACAGAAATAAAAGAAACAGAGAGACATGGAAAGGTAATATGCTATAAACAGTACAGTATATATGTACAAATTATGAAATAAAGTGATAAATGTGTACTCTTTACGAGCAAAGATGCAGAACATCTAACATTTAGCAAAGTGATTTTCAATAGCAAGTGCTTAGATACTTTTGTGTAATATTTATAGTGAAGTTATCAAAATTGAAGAAAATGTCAAAGAAGGAAAGAGAGAGTGAATGAATTATTGATAAAAAAAATACTAAAGCACTTCACTAAATTTTGTAATTTTTTCCCAAAGTAAATCAGGTAAAAGTCTCATCTTTGATCAGAAAGGAATCAAACAAGCCATACTGCCCTTTTTCCTGTCCCTGAACTGGACTCATCTCAGGCTTTTGAATAAGTACTTTTGATCCATCTCCCAAGGAGGCAATTGCCCCAGAAGCTATGATCATAAGTTGCAATGAGAGCCACAATGACTTCATCCTCCAGGGCTTCTCTGACAAACCTTATTTGGAGAAGGTACTTTTTTGGATCATTTTGTTTTTTTATTGCTTGACACTTGCAGGAAATATGGTCATAGTTCTTGTCTCCATGAAGGATCCAAAGCTCCACAGTCCCATGTATTTCTTTCTTTCCAACCTTTCCTTGCTAGATCTCTGTTTTACCAGCAGTTGTGTGCCACAGATGTTGGTTAATTTATGGGGTCCAGAGAAGACTATCAGCTATATTGGCTGTGCTATTCAACTCTATGTCTTCCTGTGGCTTGGAGCCACTGAGTGTGCCCTTCTTGTTATCATGGCCATGGACCGCTATGTGGCAGTGTGTCATCCACTGCAATATACCACTACCATGCATCCCAGAGTTTGTCTGCAGCTAGCTACCCTTGCCTGGGGAACTGGTCTGGTGCAGTCTTTGGTCCAATCCCCTGCCACCCTCCAGTTACCTTTCTGCTCCAGGATAATAGATGACATCGTGTGCGAAGTCCCAGCTCTTATTCATCTCTCCAATACAGATACTACCTACAATGAAACCCAGATGTCCATTGCTAGCATTTTTCTTCTGGTGGTTCCCTTGGTCATTATCCTTTCCTCTTATGGTGCTATCGTGCATGCAGTACTGAGAATAAAGTCGAATGCAGGACAGAAGAAAGCATTTGGTACCTGTATTTCTCACCTTCTTGTGGTCTCCCTCTTCTATGGAACTGTCACAGGTGTCTACCTTCAACCCCAAAATCACTATGCTCATGAACGGGGCAAGTTTCTCACCCTTTTCTACACAGTAGTAACCCCAACTCTTAACCCCTTCATCTACACTCTGAGGAACAAGGAAGTAAAAGGAGCACTAAGAAGATTAAGGAGGAGGACTGGGTTTCCCAGAATAACTAAAAAGGTTGATATTTGTTTGCCTGTTGCTTAAAAAAAATGAAGCAACCTCATCACAAAAGCTGCAGAACATAGGAAAGAACTATATTTTGTGATTTCAGTTTCAGCCATAAGGAGATACCAATTTTTATACAATATTTTATTATCCTTCAGTCATTTATTAGGCCCTTAATTTCTTGTGCTGATTTAGGCACAAAATGGTATAAAAATTAATATATTTAATAGTTATTTTCTTAAAAAGTATAAAATACTGTTGAAATGTGGGAGGTACAAAAGAAACACAACACTTGCAAAATAAGATACCAAGTGATATATTTCATGCTTTTACATTGATTTAAGTTTCATTCTATGTTTCTCCAAGTTAAGCAAGTGCTTTCATCTAAATGTCTTGTCCCAAAAATATTTCTAAAGTTTTGAGACACAGACTTTAAGAAAAAAAAAACTCATATTTACTTCTATAATTTAATCTAATGTATCTTTGTTCTGAATTATTTCTGTCTCTCTTCCTCAATATAACATCATTGCCATTTAATGCACTTAGCTCTACCCAATGAAAAATGTAACTAATCACACTTACTGTCCCTGATGTAATTACTCTATGATTCTATGTCCACATTTCTAAATTTTTGGATTGATATTCTGAACCATATTTCTGATTGGATAAGTCACATTAAATTTTTAAAGTTGAATTGTTATTTGCAAACCCAAACTGAACTGGTCATAAAAAATACTATAATCACTATGAGGATGCTTCATGATTTCTCACAGCCTAGGAGACACCAATTTTTATACAATATTTTGTTATCCTTCTGTTCAGTTGCAAGAAATATAGGGAGTAGCGGATAGGAAAACTAGGACAGAAAGTGAATTGGACAATTTTACTCCCAGATTGTGGAGCTGGAGTAATTCTGTGAGAAGACTAAGTTTATGAGCCAACATTATAATGTGTACTGAGGGTAAAAGGTGGCAACTACCTTAGAAATGGAAGAAAAAGATGTTACATGTTCAAAATAATGAATTGTGGTACTTCAGAATAATAACTAGGGCTTTGGTATAGAAGGAAACTGGGTCATTTAATGGAAAATTTTAAATGCCTGTTGAAAGAAAGAGACTTGAATAAATGACAGCAGCAAAAAGAAAAGGAACAAAGGTGCTTGAACATGAGAATTCATAAGATTCACACAGTTTGTTAAAATTAAGATTTTTTTAGAATTTCTGATTTAGAGAATCAGAACAAGCTTGCCTTAAAATGGCATTTTAATTAATATACTAAGTGATTCTGATAAAGGCTGTCTCAGATCTTAGTGTAGGAAATACCTAGAGGGTTGTTCAGCTAAGATGGCATGGGCTTTAATGAGTCAATGTAGTTTGAAAAGAAGACTGAAAGGAATAATGGTCTAAAAATGGAATGAAGACAGTAGCTCATTTATCATAATTTGAGATAGTGAGGATAGAAATATCTTCTCATGAGGAAGTTCTGAATGAAATGGCTTCATTTGGGAAGAGTCTAATTTCAATGAATGCCAAGCAGTGTAGAAAATTTAAGGTAAGTAATTTGAGATTATGAGCTTATTAATTATGCAGATGGTGCCTTGGAAAGTTTGAGGAGAGAAAGAGGCAGGTGTGGAGATGAGGAGGAGATGCCATTGTGGGAATGGAATATAAATATAAATAACTCAGACCTGTTTATAATTTTGGAGGTGACTGTTTATAATTTTGGAATGATAGGAGGCACTGTGGTCTTACCTTATGTACATGTTTGTCAACATTCATTTCATTTGAATCATGAGTATTATGGAATATAAACCAACACACAAACACTTTTTTACATATTGATGAAAAAAATCAGAAAAGTTATCTTTCTTCATAGACATTTTAGATAATGACAAATATTTCCTGAGATGAGTGGCTAAATCAGAATCCCTTACAATGTAAATTGAAATACCATTCCAAAAATCAGATGCTCTAAATCAGAAATTTTAGAGAATCTTAACAAATACATTATTATCTCTTATAAATTCTCAACATATGACATAAGACCATAATGATTTCTTAGGTCCTTAGGGATAATTATTTTATGGCTTCAGATAGTTTCTTAGAAATTTCTATAATGGGTAACAGAAAGCAAAGGAATATAGCATCATTTTCTAGCTCATGTGTTGTATATGGTTAGTTCTGATTATTAATTGGCTTTAATCCACCTGAGGTGCTTAACACAGATGATATATTGCCATAGGGAAGAACATTTGTGCTTTTATGACATTTAATGAGAAAGACTGTGGTCAGCAGCAATTAAGTCTCAAATTCTGTCCTGGGTACCTAACACCACTAGTCCCCAAATTCATCATGGATGTCATGTGCATGTGTGAGTGTGTGTGTTTGCATGTCTGATTTTCTTTTGTATGTAACCATATAAATGTCAATATATGTGAAAGAAGTATCATTTTAAAATGTGACTGTTATGAAAACTATAATACTGTTTTTCACATGGACAATATGTAAATCAGTAAGAGCAGGATGTAAAACAAGCCAATGAGAGAAATAACAGGGAAAAATCACTACTTATGAGAGATACATTTAAAAGCCCATGTAATTCATAGACTTTCAATAATTGGGTTTAAATTTGTCTTTAAGATTTCTTTATTCCTTACCAAGGTGCTAAACACCTCAGTAATCATATACATATTCCACTTATATATTCAGTGCACAGATATATTTTCCATGGGCCTTCGTCCTGTATTTGTTATCTTACACTTCAAAGTGAAATTCGATTGTCAAAAACTATTAAAATCTCCCTTTTATTTCTGATCTTTATAAAATTAGCCATGCCTTCCTTAATGAATTTTATTATTTGATCAGTGTGTTACCTGGGTAATTTATCAGAATTACAGCATGTTTATAGTCACTAGCATTTGAAGATAAGGACATCTTGTTCACCATTGTGTAGTCAGTGGCCAAATATCTTTACTTACTGTAAGTAAACTATAAAATTCTTAAGGAATAGAAGGTGACATCATTGAAGAGAAATTATGAGTGAGGAATTTGCATTTCCTAGGGAAATGGGAAATTTGGATCAGGGAAGAAGATACAAATTTAAGCTTGTTTCCAAGTCCTAAAATAATTTTACCTTAATAGTTCTTTATGTCATGTTCAGTGTGTTTGAAATGCAGGCTTTTGGTAAATGATGGTGCCAATTGAGTTAGAGCAGAAATAATTTGCCTGTCTTAAGCCTTATCCTGTGTTAAGATTAGAGGCTTAACTTTTAATATAATGACTAAGAGATATGATAGTCCTTGAGAACCCTTGGGTTTTTTTTTTTGTTATTGTTGTTTTGTAATATTTATTTTTTAGTTTTTTTAGATGGACACAATGTCTTTATTTTATTTTTATATGGTGCCGAGAATCAAACCCAGTGCCTCACACATGCTAGGCGAGCACACTACCACTTGAACCACATCCCCAGCCCTGAGAACCCTTGTTTTTTCAATGTTTTATCTGATATATAAGTATGTGTAAATTCTTGGATATTAAGTGTAGCAAGCATCAGTATTGATGAATGTATGTTACCATAGAACATTTCAAAATTTTTCATTATGCTTCGTCCCGGTCTCATAAAATACTTTGATATTTATATTATCATAAACTAGTGTTTTCTCCTATTACAGAATAAAATCATACATTATGTTTATTTTCTGCTTGGTTTTACACTTATATAATATTTTTGTGATTCATTCTTTTTGTAAAAAAACTATATATATATATATATATATATATATATACTTTTTAAAAATTTATAATATGTAAGGGAAAGTATGTGTGAAAGAGTTCAGAGCTTTTATGCTCTTTCAGGACATACCACCTTCCAAGAACCTCTACATGTTCTGCTCTTTAAAAGCCCCTGAGATTTACCAAATAGATATGTATATCAAATTATTATTTGTGTTGCCAAATAATATAGTAATATATAAATATGGCAAATATATTTATGTACTACTGAATATATTATTAACATATTATAAATATATTTAGGTACTACTGAAAATAGGCATAAGTTATTTTGCCTATTGATATACATCTATGTTTGTGTTAGCTATTACTGTGAAAAATACCTAACAAAATTAACTTAAAAGGAGAAATTTATTTTGGCTCATGGTTCATAGTCAGTTGTTTCCATCATATAAGACTGAGTTTTGGACTGTGAAAGGCAAAATATCATGGTGAGAAGTACATGGTGAGCAAAGCTGCTCACTTCATGGTGGCCAGAAAGCAAAAAAGAGAGAGAAAATGTTTAGAAACAAAATGTACCCTTCATGGGAATAGCCCCAATGACTGATTTCCTCTAACTAGGCCCTGCCTCCTAAAACTTTCACCACCTCCCAGTAACCCGTTAAGCTATGCATCCATGCATGAGGTTAGAATCACCAAGGTTCAGTCATTTCCCAAAGGCCCCACTTGTGACCACTGCTGCACTGGAGACCAAGTCTTCAGCATAGGAGTATTGGGTTTGCTTAAGATCCAAACCATAGCAATGTTGTTTTGTGATTTCACTGTTGTTATGTTTTCTGAATGGGAGTGTTCTTTTATGCCTTCTCTTGATCCCACAAGTCAGGGGCTAACAGCCTCCTGTTTGCCTAAAACAATACCCTAAAATGTTCAAGTTTGTGTGCCTTCTTCTAATGCCACAGAGGGTCTGCTGCATGGGAGAGCATTTGCACTCAACTGCTATGGGGATGCACTCAGGGAGCTAGGCTGGGTTTGTGGAAGGGTAAGTATTATGTAGTTTTTGGTGTCACGAGGAGCCCATTGAGGAGAGATCATTCACAGGTAAGAAGTCGCAAGTACCTAATGGATGAAATTCCTGATGTAGTTCATGGAGTTGTAAGTAGCATGTAAGTAGCTACCTCCTTCCCTTCTCCATGACTCTTCTAACTACTTGGTTTTGCCTATCACCTCAGTATTCTTAGTGGTGCAAGAAAGATGTGACCCTCCAGAGTAGCATTCCACATTGCTGGGTAGAATGTTCCCAATTTTCCT